ATTTCAAATTCTTTTGCGAGCAAAATGTGATAGGTTTTTCTCGAAGCAACACTTCAAGCTATTACCATCGATAAGCGTCAGGGACAGAGACGCCGTGATAATTATCGACCACAGATTCGTCCCTGCGAGCGACGGGATACTGCAGAATCTCGTCAAGGGCGGTGAGGGATCCCATGCTCGGAGACGTGAACAAAGGACGCGACGAAAGGCGAAAAACTGAGGAGTAATTTGCCGGCGACCGAACGTGTTTGAATAAATGGTGCCACCGAGGGGTAGATGAGCTGGAAAGAGAAGTTAGCGGGCGGAAAATTATAAGGCGGCGCGTAAAGAGGATAGTATTTAGGTGACTTGATAATGCAGTGTTTAGCGCGTGGCGCGTGCAGAATAACATTTCTAATATGTGAAAATTGGCTTGTGCTTCGGGTAAAAGTGGGGCAATCGATGTTTTTCGTAAACCTTTTATGGGAGGAGAGATCTTTTTCATTTTTTTCCTTGTTCTCCAGTATTTTTGGCTGATGTGATTGGTTGAATATTCCTTGGAAATATTCATCAATACTTTGGGGAAAAAAAGATGTCCCCTTGTTTTTTTATTACATTTTACAATTTCAGTAATTTTTAAGGTTGAAAATTCTTTATTTCGATATTTCTATATAAATACAGAGTTTTCTGAACATATACGTCAATGTACTTTGTAATCCCACTACTTGTATAATTCTGGTGCTTTGTAATTTTATATGTCAATTTATATTGGTTCAGAGTAGTCGTGTAAACTTTGACTTCTATCCTTATTTTATATGTCAATTTATGTTGGTTCAGAGTAGTCATGTAGACTTTGACTTCTATCCTTATTTATTAGAACTTGTAAATTTATAAAATAGTAGGTTAATTAAAATTATAAATATTATAAAAGTTACTTAACTCTCGTATTTGTTATTAGACTAATACAACACTCGTGTAATGTATAGGTGTTCGAAAAAAAGAATACTTGTATAGTAAAAAAAATTAATATAACACAATATTTATATGTTTATTGTGAAATCATAAAAATAAAAGTACAACAAAGGATGAGTAACGATTTGCACTTTTTACCCTCAAATTTATAAAACTACTAAACATTTTAATTATATTTATAAAATTATATATATAACACAAATATCATTTAAAACTATGTATTTTGAATTTTTTAAAATTATTTGCAAATGTGATTATATTATAATTATAGTCTACATTATTTTAGTCGCTCTCTCATTTATTATTTCTTCAAATATCATATGTACATGTATTAGAATAAATTACATCAACTGGACCTTTTTAATCATCGACTACAGAAAATTACTTGTAATTGTATTATCTGCTTATGTTAAACTAACTATTTTTACATAATTTTACTTAAGTTTCAAATTTGAATAAAGTAATAAAAATTACAATAAACTAATAATATTGTTTTATTTCATAATTCATAATTTTGAAATCCCCCTTATATATTAATTCAAAACGTGTTGAGCCTAAGTGGCAGGCTCGCTCGCTTTGGAATCCTACATGTCACAATGCTTTGTATTTAGGTTCGGATAAAAATTTTAGAAACAAATTGGCTTGGAAAGTACCACAAATAATTTTTCACCATACAGCATTACCTCCCATCAATCTCTCTTTCATTACCAAATTTGTTTTGAACTTAAAGTTAACACAATCTTTCTTTATTTATTTTATTTTTTCATTTTAAAAATCACTTGAATTTAATAATTGAGTTAATAATAGTTCTTTTATATGACAGTGGATCAATGCCGAGTTTACAATGTTTCTTTTATTTGATAATTGAGTTAACAATATTTTATTTGAGAATGAATTTTTTTATATTTTTTTATTTGATAATTGAACTAACTAACATCATATCTACATTAATTTTTTATGTTTTCTTATTTAATAATTGAGTTAACAATGTTTCTAAATGTTTGGCGAATATATAATATCAAATTTCTTCACACTCTAAATTCTTAAATTGAATTTGTAACGAGATTCTAGCATCGTAATAAAAATTTTGAATGCCTAACTTTGGGTGATTTATTCGAAATTAGGACCATGATTCGTATGGCTCAGATAATTTATATTTTCTTAATTTTTGTTTTAATAATAATATTAAATAATTAATATAGACTAATTATGTTTTACAAATATTTGATATGGGAATATTCTGTTACCGTGGATTTAATAACTTTCTTTACACATCCCTATTGATATGCATCCCAAATGTTTGACGAATATATGGTAACCACCTAGATGCCTCCTAGGGTACTCTTAAAATCACCTAGATTCACTCTCTTCTTCCCGAAGATCTTCCCTATTAGACTTAATTTGCAATCTTGCACTCCAATCGCTATATCTTCCCCTAACAGAGTAATCCCTTTTCCTCTCGGTCCGATAGCACACATCGCTGCAGTTTTTCTACCACCTCTTCCTCTATTGAAACCCTAACTCTCTCGCCTTTCTTAGTGTCGAAAGTACCACAAAACATAAAAAGAAATGAGGAGAACTAAACTATGGTTAACAGAAAAGCAAAGAACACAACAAAAAGCACCAAAGCACAACAATAAAAACCGACAAAGAGAGTAAAAGGCAGCCATACTCGATCTGGCAAACAAAAATAACTACAAAGAAGAACAAATCCTAAGGAAGGAACTACAAACTCTAAGAGAAACCAAACCCTAAGAGGAGTGACTTTTTTCTTAATTTCAAACCTCGATCCATTATTAAAACACAAATTTTATCCAACACACGTCCCCAACTTCATTAATCTCTCCACATATTTATTATGGTGGTTGTGGATAATCAGAAATTCCTGGATATTTAACAAAATTAGAAGTAGGGATAAAGATGTAGTGGATGGAGCATGGAAGGAGTGGAGGGAATTTGAGGAGATTACAGTTGGAAAAAAGGGGGATGAGGAGCAGGGCACATCTGAAAGATGGGTAGGACAGTTATTGCTAACTGTCAGTGCTTCATTATTCCCAGATGAGAGAATTGGTTTTGGTGCATTGGTGGAAGATGACAGAGGTATGCGGTTCTGCTGGAAAGAATGTTCTGAGAAGGCTGCAGATGCTAAGGAAGCTCTACTTAGAGCTGTTAGATGGGGATTGACAAAGCTGCAAGAGATGGAATTGATAAATTCCATATGTTGTTGTGTTGACTCTATCCCATTGCTCGAGCATTAAATTAGATGGAAGATACATATGATGCAGGGGTGGCCATTGTAGCTGAGAACATTGTTGCATCCTATGTTAATGCTCTTTTGTGTATGATAAAGTAGCTTGTTTTAGTTCTTTTTCTTTAGTCTTGGAGGCATTTCAGGGGGATTAGTATTAATCTCACATTGCTTGTGGTGATTCTGTTTGTTGGGGTTGCTGGTAAGCTTGTACCTGGTTAGGCACGCAGGTTATATGAACCTTGAGTTTGAGTGTTATATATTGATTGTGTCGATAACCGACTCGGTCATGCATGATTAGTTGAAAACTAATCATATTATCTGTTGATAATCTTTCAGAAACGACTAACTCAGCTCAAGTCGGCAACAATTGAATAAATACCGACTTCTGGACAGCTCAAGCCGAACCGACTAAACTATTGAAACTCAAAGACCGACTTCACCAACGATAAAATTATTTACGATAAAAATTATCCCTTCAACCGACATCCGAGGAGATCGAATTTCCACGCAGGAGATGTTGTACGTATTCAATTGGACTATCAAGTCAAAGAGTAATCATTGATGCTCCCTTATTACATTACACGCCGCTTTATTAAAGCAGTTCAACATTTAATGCGATTTAATCTACCTCGGACAAGAAGACAAAAACAGCCGTACTATAAATAGCAGAACTTATTACTGTACGGGGATCTTTTTTCGCACATTGTACACGGACTTAAAATGATCCGGTCAAGAACTAAAAACCGACTTCATGTACTCTCGTGAAATTATCAATAATATACAATTTTACACTTATCTTTGTTTAAATACACCTTGCTGTTTATGATTTTTGAGTTGTTAATTTCATACAATAATATATTTTTTGTTAANTTACACGTGCAACATACCATTCCAAAACTTTAACAATCTATATATATATAATTGCTAGCTAATCCCATTTAATAAAACATTTAATAAAAACATTTTCACTTTCCCTCCAAAAGGAGTTACATTTTTTTAATTAATTACTCATTAATCTCACATTTAAGAAGGTTTTTTATAGTTAAATTTAATTAGTTAATGATTAAAGTAAAAAAAATTATTTAATTAATCCCACATTTATGTTAAGTACAGTATTATCTTAATATCTTATCAGTTTTTCAAAAAAATAGTAACTTTTTTCAATAAATTTTATAAAAATTAGTCAAATGTGCTTATATTCATATAAATCAGAAAAAAATTAAATCTTAACTATATAAAAAGAACATCGTTGAAATAACTTGAATCCGCAAGGGTAATTCTATACTCATTATCAATTACTTTAAATTTTTTGTTTATATAAAAAATTTATATTATATTTACTCATTTATATTTAGATGGTATTTTTTTTATTAAGAAGCAAGGACAATCTCTATCAATCAATAAGAGTCGAGGACAAACAATATAAAGAAGTGTTTCCTATGCTATGACATGATCAATAAGAGTCAAAGACAGTCTCTGTCGCACGTCGGCTTACTACTGAAGAGCTCTGCATTTAGTCATGAGCAATTATACGTGGCGCTTTTTAGAGTTACGAGTCAGTTGGGTTTGAAGATTTTGATTTGAGCTGAGGGAGATTTTGACGATAGAGAAGTGTTTAAGAATATTTATATTTTTTTTTCTTAATTTTTTTTAATGAATATGTTATGATTTTTACTATTGTTTATAATTTTTATTATTTTTTCATGTATCATATAGTTTTCCGTGCAAATGCACGGGACAAAACTAGTATTTATTTATTTATTCTTTCATTTTCCCCTCGCAAACTGTTTTCTACTTCTCTCACGCGAATTACACGCAGTAAGAAAAGTAAAAAACCGTTCTAAGCACAACGTACAACCACTCTAAGCACAAGCCGGAGCCCATTCTCCTCCTAGGGTTTTACGAGGGCACAGGCGGCGCAACCTTTTTCCATTTTCCCCGATACGCTCCATTTCCCATCACAAATGGCCGAAAACACATCGTTTCAACCCCAGGAAGAACAGCCTGACTCCAAAAGGCAAAAAATGTCCACCACCACCACCTCCGACGACGACGAACAGAATCCCGAAACGATCCCCCGGAAGCCCAAATACAAGCGCCGCAAGGTCGCAATTTTCTTCGCCTACTGCGGCGTGGGCTACCAGGGGATGCAGAAGAACCCCGGCGCGAAGACTATCGAGGGAGACCTCGAGGAGGCCCTCTATCTGTCCGGAGCCGTCCCCGAACCGGACAGGGGCCAGCCGAGGCGCTACGACTGGGCCCGGTCCGCCCGCACCGACAAGGGCGTCAGCGCCGTCGGCCAGGTTGTGTCCGGCCGGTTCTACGTCGACCCGCCCGGCTTTGTTGAGCGGCTGAACTCGAACTTGTCCCCGCAGATCCGAATTTTCGGGTACAAGCGGGCCACGCCATCGTTCAACGCCAAGAAGTTCTGCGACCGACGGAGGTACGTTTATCTGATCCCGGTTTTCGCGCTCGATCCGTCTTGTCATAGGGATAGAGAGAGTGTGTTGGCCAGCGTGGGGTCTGGGAACGAATTAGTCAAGTGCCTGGAGTGTTCGGAAAGAGGAAGAAAGGTTTTTGGGGTAATGGGTAAACGTAGTTATGAGTCGAAAGGTTTTTCTGAGAATGCTGATGTAGGTTCAGGCATTTCATCTAACGATGCAAGTGCTTTAGCCGAAGAGAAATCTGTTAAAAATTCCTTGGAGAACAATGATTCCGAAAATAATTCAGCTATCAAAATTGTGGAGGATAAAGCTGTGTTTACTGATAATAGTAACATTACGATAAGCTCTTTGGAAAAAGTGGTCGATGGTGCTGAAATTGGGAAGGAAGTAGAACAGGGAGATGAATTGGAATGCAAAAGAACTACTAACGACCAAGCAGAAATAGAAAAGAAGAGTGAGTTCAGGTATGGAGAAGGGGAGAAGGAGAGGTTTAACAGAATACTCAAGTATTATGAGGGGACACATAACTTCCACAATTTCACCACACGAATGAAAGCTGAAGATCCCGCTGCCAAGCGGTACATTCTGTCGTTCAACGGGAATAACATAGTCCGCATTGATGGACTTGACTTTGTCAAGTGTGAGGTCGTGGGGCAGAGCTTCATGCTTCACCAAATACGTAAAATGATAGGTCTTGCTGTGGCCATTATGAGGAATATTGCTCCCGAGTCGTTAATTCAAACAGCTTTTGATCCGTAAGTATCTTTCTTTCTTTTTCTTTATTGAAGTGGTGTGTACTTTGTGTGTGATATATTATGTTTTCTGACATTGGTTATTGAATTCAGGAAATTGAATATAAATGTGCCTATGGCGCCAGAGGTGGGGTTGTACTTGGATGAATGTTTTTTCTCATCGTATAATCAGAAGTGGAAGGGCAGCCATGAAGAGCTCTCGATGAGGGATTATGCGGAGAAGGCTGAAGATTTCAAGATGAAGTACATCTATTCTCATGTTGCCTCAACCGAGCACAAGGATGGGTCAGTAGCACTTTGGTTGCATTCATTGAACTACCGTAATTATCCAGATTTACGGTTTACGGCAAATGATGGCCCGAGTTGTGATGGGCAGCAGGGGAATGAGGCTGATGGTTGTAAGGTACCTTGTGTGAAGCATGTGGAAGTTAAGGACATGGATGAGTGAGTTTGAGTTAAGTTTTCTGGATTATCATTAAAAAAATTAACAAAAAGCAAAACTTGGTACAAAAGTTTGGGTTGGTCTTAGAGAATACTTGTATGACGCCCAAAACCTGGTTCAAAATTTTGTGTTGGCCTTGGAGAATAATTTTAGGATGCATGTTGTTGGATATGTTATGGTCTATCTAATTTACTTTGAAATCTGCTGATAGCATTTTCCATACGATTCTGGTTGGGTCGTGTGGCTGGCATTTACGTCGAACGTGGTTTGCCTTGTTCTAGGAAGAAAATCCTTGTCAAGGGTGTGTCGGATATGGGATTGTACTGGTTGCGCACGATAGAATCATTGATTTTGAAATCGTATCTTGAATATGTTCCGTTTTGATTCCTCCATAATTTGCTTCAAAACAGAGTATGGAAGTAGTTCTTAGATATCAAATTTTGAGTGATATTTAGAGCATCTACAATGCTTTGAGTCTAATTTTGCTTGTGTGCCATGTAAATAGACCAAGTCTTGGATGACATGAATAGAAGTATATAACTATCAAAAATAACAAAATTCACTTCAATGCAAAGAGACTGAGCGTTTTGCTTAATACTTTATTTAATATTTTTCACTGTAAACATTATTAATTAAATATTCAGTTAATTTTAAATATTCAAATACTTAAACTAATTGATAAATAATTTATACATATACATTATATTTACATATATATTGTTTACTATTAAAACTATTTTTAAATCATTATTTTTCAAAAATAAATAATATGGAATGGTCCAACTAGTAAGATCTAACAGGTTCCTACCAGTTGTTGGCAACTGGTCAACAAATTGGTTCAATCAGTATGATTGTCCAACTTCGGTTCTGAAAACAATGTGGTATAAATAATATTTGAGCTTTTGATTAATTTTCATTCATATTTTCAATAAAAAAAATATTAATTGTATTTGGTGATCGGGGTTGAGGTAAGGCTCTCTTCCCTCCTTTCGTCGTCTCCTTGGGTTTGGTGGTCCAGACTTGGGCGGTTGGTTAGTCGTGGGCTCTTGGTGGCTGAGAGGTCGATCGGTGGACTGGTCGGTTGGGTTTGAGGGCACGGACGGTGGGAGTGTTGAAGGGGGTCGTCTTTCAGTTTTAGCTCGAGGGGTGGATCGTCTGGGAGAAAATTTTAGTCGACTGGCGCGATTCCAGCTTGTTGTGACTGGAGTTTCTGGAGTAGTGCTAGAGTCGGAGTCCTATCTGAGTTGGGTGGCTATCCCTAGGTGTTATTGTTAGTGTTTTGTTATAGTTTTGTGAGTGTTTCTACTGTTTTTGCTGGTAGTTCTCCTCTTGTAGGAGCTGGAGTCTCCCTCCTTTATGCGAGTTTTAGTCCCTTTGTCTGTGTGTCTTGTGTGTGTAGTAATCTCTCTAAACTTTCGAAGTCGAGTAATCTCTTGCTAGATTCAGTTAAATGGTTGTGTGACTAATCCTATTTGTTCTAGTTGTAATTGAGTTTTTATCTATAAAATCTATTATTTTGAAAAAAATAAAAGTAAAAAACAAAGATTAAAAAATATATTTATGTCTAATTTATCAATAGATGTATTTAATTGGGATTTTTAAACTTTTTAAGACTTTAGAAATTTTGGTATATTCAATTTAGATTTGTTAAAAGTCTTGGGGGTATTCATTTGAAATTTTTAAAAAATCTTATAAAATTGAGTTATTTAACTTATTTGATACTATGATTTTGTTAGGAATTTTTAAGATTTGATGAAATTTCTAAAGGAAAAACATTATATGAAATCCTACTTCAAATTCCACCTCAAATTTTACAGAATTCTTCCCAAATCTAAAAATCTTAAATAATCTCATGTCTTACAAAATCTCAAAATAACATTTCAAAACCCAATTGAATACACCTCTAAATAATACATCTCCAAATAGGGGAAAAAGGAAAAAAGGAGAAAAATGAAAGGCGGGGCAAAATACTAGAAACATTGGTTAAAAAACAAAAAGCAATCAATCCCAGAACGCATCCCCTCCACGATCTTAGTTCACAACAAGAAATGACCGAATCCACCACCGTTGACTGGTCAAGCCTGCCCCCGGAACTCCTCCTCACCGTAGCCGCCAACCTCCAAACCCTCGCCGACTACATCCGCTTCCGCGCTGCCTGCCAGAACTGGCGCGCCGCCGCCCCCCTAATCCCCCGCTACCTCCCTCGCGAGTTCCCCTGGCTCATGCTCCCTTTGATCCGCACCTCCGGTCGGCGCGGCTTCCTCAGCCCCCTGACCAACGATCTCCACCGCCTCACGCTCCCGGAGGCCTCCCTCGGCCGCCGCCGCGCCGGATCTTCCTTTGGCTGGCTTGTCCTCATCGACGAGTCTCCTTCCGTCTTCCTCATCAACCCGCTCACACGAGACAGAATTGCTCTTCCTTCGTTGAACTCTTTCCCCAACGTGATGAGATTCGATTTTTACAGTATAGGGAGGGAATACACTCTCCGCTCTCCGGAAAACGATCTATACTACTGCAATTTGAAGGAAATGCGCGACGCTTTCGTTAAGAAGGTAATTCTTTCTCACAGCCCTTACGGCAATTCTGATTTTTTTGCCTTGGCGATCCTCAATCGTCATGAAAACCTAGCTTACTGCAAAAATGGCGATCATTCATGGAAAATTATAGATGCAGCACGGTCGTACAGCGAGGATGTGATTTATCTTAATGGTGCATTTTATGCTATCAATAAATTCGGGTCGATTGCAATCTGTGACCTGAAGGATGAAGATTTGCCGGTGGTGAAGTTTATTACGGTGAGGCAACAAATTGATGGTGATATGCAGTACTTGGTGGATGCAATGGGTGATCTTTTGTTGGTGTCGAGGTACTTAGAATTCGATATAGATTTGGAGCATTACTCGGAAGTTTGCAAGACATCAAAGTTTCGTGTGTTTAGGTTCGATTGGAATTCCCAAATATGGGTGAGCACTGCAAGTTTGGATGATAAAGTCTTGTTTGTGGGGACAAATTCATCACTAGCACTGCTTGCCAGTGACTATCCTGGGTGTAGAGGGAATAGTATTTATTTTACAGATGATTATTCTGGGATGAGTTATGATATTATGGGCGGTGATCAAGATGTTGGTGTTTATAGCTTGTGTGATGGAACTATTGAGCAGTTCCCTTGTTATCCTCGGAATTCGCATTGGCCGATTTGGATCATGCCAAGTTTATGCTAAAATATGTAAGCTCTCAGCATCCTTGTCTTATGCTAAAATACGTAATCAAAGCAATTTTTACGCTGCTTTTACCTTTGCATTTCATAGTAGTGTTTCGTGTTTACTTCTCATGCTTCTTTGGTGATGCTGTAATCATTGTCATACATGTTGTGTGTATTTGAATTTCTACTTACTCTGGCTGTAAAATATTGTTGCTACTCGTGCTTGTGTCAACTTGATTTGTCAAATTGAACATGATGTTTACATATTGCATTTTTTTATGGAGAGGATATGAAACATTGTACTGGTTTGAGGTCATTTTTAGTTTTTTACTAATTTTACCATGAAAACGAGTGCTGTAATATTCTTTTCTAATCATGTGACTGTTTTTCTAATGCATTTGTGCTTACTTTTGTTTCTCAGATAAATAAATGTTTGCTGAGTTGATTAATCCTCTGTGCATGGTGTGGAATAAGGGATTGATTACTGCAAGGCCCTTGTTTGGAGTATGTAAAATTCCAGATTATGTGTACTTTATACACAAGCTACTTGAAAACCGAGAAAATATGACATACTTTCTTCTGCAAAATCTTCTGTCCTCTAAACTGGAACGTATAAGTCATTCTAATTGGTTTATGCCTGAACAAATGGAAATTTGTTTGGAAAAACTTCTCAAATAGACTTTTGGATATGAAAGTCCACTAATACAATACCCGTATACTACACGGGTGTTGAGTTAAGAATATATGATAAAAGTTATTGCTAACATAAATTTTTTATTTAAAATTTTTTTATGAACTAATTGATGAAAAAAAAGAGGAATTTAGGAGAAAAATATGAGAGAAAATTATAATACGGTAAGATTGCTACTTGCTCAAACTAAGAAGGAAATATGTACTATGAGGAAAAAATAACAAAATTAAATACACTTACAAAGTTTGAAAAAAGTTATTTATGTCTAATATCAAGTCTAGCTTTAGAGCAAAAATGAATATATAAACAACATTACGAAGCATAGATTTTTGCCATGTCAGCATCATGAGAATCTGCCACTTAGGTTCAACATGTTTTGAATTAATATATAGAATGAGATTTGGGTAAATATTTATCCAAAAAGTTCTTTTGGATATAGTGCTAAACTAAAAATGGACATATAAATAAGTTTTTTTATCCCAAAAGTTCTTTCTATATACGTACATGATAGAGAAGTCTTTTGGAGAAGTTTATTTTGCACAAGTTCATTTAAAAAGTCTACTTTTCCGAAAGTGCTCCCATCCAGCACTTTCCTATATTTGTTGGTGCAAGACTGAGAATGTATCATGATACAAGTAGCAGTAGCAGACACACTTACAATTTTGATAGTACGTACAGTTATACATGTTCTGAAATTTTAAGAATAGTAGTAAAGTGCACGTGCGATGCACGTGGTGGCGAATGTTTTTTCTCAATTAAGTTTAATAAAATAAATTAATTAATTTATTAAAAATATCGTTGCAAGAATGAAATAAAACGTAGAACAAATGAGCTCATAATGTAATCGTTTTTTGCCGATTAAGTTTTGTGAAATAAATAAATTAATTTATTAAATATATCCTTGCAAGAATGAAACAAAATGTAGAACAAATTAATAAAACAAAATATAGAAACAAATTATTTTTTCTAAAATAACTTAACGATGTCCTAATATAAAAATAATTAAATAACATATTACAACCCCAACAAAAGCACTAAATAACTAAATAATGACTAATATATATTATACATGCATTGGTTCTTTTATTTGTTTATGTTAGATGATTCGATAGCGTTCTCTTTCATTTTGGTTTTGACGTCCTCATAAGAAGCATTATTGATTCAATAGTATTGCAAAATTCATCTTAATTCATTTGGCAAGACGTCTACTTTATTCAAACACTTAAAAATATTCTAACCAAACATATAATGAAACTTCGTGGTTGTATTATCTTTATATTTCTACTAACCATGCATGAATATATCTGTAAAATAATTAATGGTGTCATTAAAATTATTGATTATTTTTTATCATTGTATAAACTATTAAATTACTCTCTATATATATCGACAAATTATTGATACCTACCCCATGGATGTATCTCCCTATGGAAGGGAATGAATTTCATCTCTAAATAAAAGTTGACTATTCAAAATATCTATTACATGTACTTTTCCCGAGGTTTTTTTTTTTTTAAATCATCACACATTAACTAAAAGTTCTTACTATAAAATAATTGCACATATGTTCAAGCACAATACACCAATGAAATTATAAATATTCCTATAAGAAGTGTCAACTTCATTCAAATATTCAAAAGTGTTTTGATCAGGCTCCAACGTTTCATTTTCAATGTCATTTATTTGGAAGATAGACGAACTATATAATCTATTGTTTGCAAATCATTGACCATCTAGTTCTTGCAATGATTTTAGAATTATTTATCTTCATATCTTTCACATTCGTATGTGTCCAATAACTTTTTAATGCTTTTATCGTCCAACTTTATGCATCATACATAATACTCAAAAAAACTCGAGATAAAGTTCCTTTCTTGATTTTTCACCAATGACAAAATTAAACAAAACAAAACAATGAGACAACATTGAGAAGCATATCATTTGTTAAAATATTTGAGATGAGAAGAATTAAAATTCTATTTTATGACTCTTAGTCATCTTTGAACATTACTATTACGAAATCATTATTAAAATCTACATTATGAATTATAAAGTTTTAAATTTTTAATTATTTAAAATTAAAAATTGATAATATAGGATCATTATTTATGAAATCCAATTTCTTACAGAGTCCATATATTTAAACGCTAGCAACAAATAAAGTATTATTTTTAAAAGATTTTTTGTTTCTAAATATTGGTATTCATACTTGTCTAAGAAAATTCAGACGTTTTCTTTTTTCAATTCCATTACTATTATTTTATTAATTTTTATTTCTATTGATAAATAATACTTTATTTATTAAACGAATTCTAGCACATTTATATGTATTGCATCATTTTTTGTACGTGTTTCATATAATGACGTTGTTATCAAAATATCTTATTTATTAGACAACAACTAATATAATCACATAAGATAAAATAAAATTTAATATTACTTATTTATATATTTATAATAATAATATATTTAATAAAAAAATATACTTTTATACTGATTATTAGATTAAAAGGTTTAGAATTTTTTCCCAATGTTTGAGAAAAATATTAAGCAACTAACTCATTTTCATACTCATTGAATTTATGTGTTAGTTGAATAAAATTTCACATACAACTCGTTCATTTCTCCTTTTAATTCACATAGTTAATATTGGTGATAGTTGTATATTTACATCCATTTTTTGTTTTTTCTTAGTATGAATATTCGGATCTATGTAAGAAAAATATGCCACAAGGAATCTGATTCTAGCAAAAATATTTTATTGGAATCATGAGCAGATCTATGTTTATTTTATAGATCCGACACAACCCTCCATCCTAAAGCATATAGCGTAAGGAATCTAATAAAAATTTGTGGGAACATTTTTTCATAATTTTTATCATGTCCCCTATTTTAAAATGAAATTGAAAGAAAGAAAGATACATAATGAATTAATTCACAACTCAACCAATTATAATTTAATTCAACTCATAACTTTATTAATGTTATAACATAAACGCGGCATCACAACTAAAGAAAATATAATATATCTCAAAATTACAATTTTATCCTCTAATTATATTATTTCAATCTTGATGACAGTTTCAAATCTCTCTTTTGCAACATATTTTTTCTATATCTTCAAAATATATTTTTTATGTCTTTTATAACTAATGTAAGGGGAATTCTAGTTATATATTCGTAATTTATAAATTAATCAATTATACTGCCGAGTATTTTTTTTTAAAAAAATATTATTTTCAATGATTTTCTTATGTTGAATTGAGAAAAATCTTTATTTATTTTATTAAAAACTTTTTAACTTATTGTGACTGTACTGATGTGTTAGAATGTATTACAAGTTAGAAACATGACAAATTATGTAAAGTATAATTTATAAATTGTAATGGCATTATGTTATTTTGATGGTATACTTTTTCTATTAACTATATAGTGCCCAATATAAAATTATTTTGGATCCGCCACTGCAATTAGTTTTCCAATGGAACTTCTATTAATTTTTTTACAATTTCAATGACAGTTTTTTCAATGGTTGAAATACGATCCGTAAAAAAATTCAACAGAAATTCAAACAATAATAAATTATAGTAATTGGAATGATTTAATTCACAAAATTTTCAATGTAATTTAATTTGTTCTCTGTTGGAATAGTTAATGAAATTTTCCAATAAAAGCTTTACCAATGAAATATCCGTTGGAATTTTCTTTGGAATATCTTACAGATGCATTTTCCATTGCAATATACCAATTTTTTTTGTATTCCTTCTTAAACATTATATTTTAGGTAGTAGTTATTGAGTAACTGTTTTTACAATTTTTCTAATAACATACATTAAACACATGAACTTGTTAATCCATATACTTTTTATAAAGTAACTTATTATTTTATCTCAAGATTACCTAATAAATTTCAATTGACTTACATTTATTACATATTAAATGTTAAATAATTAAAATAATTATTATTTATATATTTAATATGATATATATATATATTATATATATTATATGTAAAAAGCTAATAGCAAATAAATAGTAATTTAAAATTAGAATAATCAAGTGTTTTTTTTTCCTAACCTACATGGATAAAGGTAAAAATAACTATTGTATATCACCTAAAAGTTACATATAGAATTAATAAGTACAAAAATTAACAAGCATTTAACAACCCTGCTCGTTTACATTGATAAATATAAGTTTTAAAAGGTTTATGTTTACTTTTATTAATTATAACATATTTATTTATTATTTTTTAATATTTATTAGTACGTATTACAACTTAGTAAATTTTAATATCATTTGTCAGATTTAATTTTTTTTTTATTTTA